CGTCGGTTTTGCCTTTTAACCATTTGACGTGGCTGATCGCACAAGATGATTTTATTGAGTTACATCACTGGGAAAGCTTCAAATCTAAACGTCAACTTCTAGGAAGAATCGAGGAAAATGAAGTGATAAAAAATAAACGGTGCACATATTGGTAACACTGTCTGTCACTTTCAAGAAGCTACTACATAAACCAGTTGCCAGACTGGTTTAATAAGGAAGTACTGCAGTTCGTTAAAGGAGTAACAGGATCGGATGAAGCTAAAAGTGTGGGGGGACAGAGCGATGAAGACGTTTCCAAACAACAAAATGAATCTCACAACACATTTCAGGCATCAAATGTTTAATGGAAATGTAACAATATATACATCATTACTTAAACTCCACTTGAAGCCGGATGAATCCATTCTAATAAGGGAATACCAGCCTCTGTACGGCGTGATGCCCCTCGCATATTATTCACGGCAAATGGAATCCCATTTTGAGGGTGATCCGACTCTTCCGCGGTATCCTCCAGACTTGCCCAGAGAAACTGAAGATACAAAGTTGAAAGTACATTAGTTTCCTTATAGCCACTCTCCCGTCAACAACTTACAAGTGAGCCAATGCATTACGTACGAGTACATGCCCCACGTCCAAAAAACAGACATGGTCTTGCCTTCGTAGTTTAAACAACGCTGTGAGTAGCAGCTCAACGCTTCACTTCACACAGTTGCTGGCGCGCACTCTGCGCCGATGTAACGGAAGTGTTCTTCCAGAGCAGCTATGATATCTGGGGCAGAAGTGCCCTCCAACTTGGCCTGTCTTAACAGAACGTCACTGTTGCCGGACTGCCAGAGAAATGAATATGCCCTGGAAAAATACATTCATACAAACATACAGACAAAAGTTAAGTTAACAAGGAAATAAGTTACAACAAATTCAATCATTCGATTCAGACACCGCATTCCTATCTTCCGAAAGCATTTAATGGGAGAAATTGAGGATTGTGGGAACCACAGCTGCTGTTAACACTCACCAAAGCCAAAGT